ATTGTTTGTAGAAAATATATTTAATAAATTAGTTTTGTACTGTCTCAATGATATTCGAATGATAGGCTGTTCCAGGGTCCCATACCACAACAGCATATTCCAGTTTTGATCTAATTAATGAATTGTATAGGTACCTATATGGTGTCAATATTGAAAAAGGAGTGACAGTTTCTTATAATAAATCCTAATAACCTTAGAGCTGATGCAGTTGTAGCTTTTACGTGCTCGTCAAAGTTAAAGCTTCGTGTATATATTACTCCTAAATCTTTTTTCTGTACAATGTTTTTCAGTTTATTGTTATTGATATAATACTCAAACAATCGGTACTTTCTTTAAAGTGAAAGTAATTTTTTCACATTTTTCCGCATTAACCCCTTCCCTACCAGAATTAAATTTTATAAAACGTCATTTATCATCCAGCGGTACTTTTAAGTCTCACTTAAATTCTAATAATCACGTTAGCTTTGATTAGCTGAACGTATCTATATTTTGCGAGACTTTTAAATACCGCTGGTAGACAAAGGGTTAAGGTGGAGCATATTCTTGTTGCACCAAATTATTGGTCTTCTAAGATCAGATTGTAGGCACACACAATCATTTTCATCACGTATATTTCGAAACAGTTTTAGGTCCTCAGCAAACCGTAGGCATTCAGATTCCTTTACAATGGACGGCATGTCATTAATAAACAATAAAGAGTAAAGGCCCTAGACTACTCCCTTGCGGAACACCACAGTTTATTTAAAATTTTTGTAACTCGCTATGTTTATAACTAACGTAGATATGTCTGTTTTCCAAATAAGATCCAAAAAAATTTAATGTTTGTTTAGATAAACCATACAATACTAACTTGTCTAAAAGTACATCATGATTCACTTTATCGAACGCTTTAGTGAAGTCAGTGTATATAACGTCAACCTGACCTTTTCTATCCAATTCAGAACTAACATATTCATTTAAGATAATTAAGTTTGTTTGTACAGATCTATTAGGGATAAATCCATGCTGGTTAACATGCAATGCCTCTTTGATGTGATTGAATATTCTATTATATATAATGCTTTCGAAGACTTTTGCAAAACAGGATATTATTGAAATTGGTCTATAATTGGTGATTTTACTTACAGAACCAGACTTGTGTATAGGTACAACCTTTGCCCACTTGCAATGTAAAGGAAACGTACAGGTGGAAATTGCTAGGTTAAAGATAATAGAGAGAGGCAACAAAAAAAACTTTTTGCAACCTTTTACGATGTAAGGGGGTATATTATCCGGTCCTTGTGCCTTTTTTGGCTTTAACTTTCTTATTGCTCCCAATATTTCATTGTTCGAAATGGGATTAAATGTAAATATGTTCAACGAGCTTCTTTGAAGGGATTCATCATATTTATTAAGCATATAAGAAGAAACATTATCAAAAACAGAACTGAAATATTCACCAAATGCCATACTTATATTTTCTGCAGAAGAAAGTGTTGAACCATGTTGTTGAAAACACGTTGCTTCATTTAAGTTTCTTTTTTTGTTAGAAATGAAATTCCAAAAAGAATTTGGCTCATTCTTAATATTTTGTTCCACCTTAGCCGTGTAGCTGTTGTATGCTATGCCATACAAGAGTGATTCTAGAACAAATACTTATGATGAGATGTCAACAGTCCTATCACAGATCGAAGCTATCTTGAACTCCAGGCCATTGTGTCCTTTGTCGAGCGATCCAAATGACTTATTACCATTAACCCCCGCACATTTTTTACTTTTAGATTCTCTTGGTGCACAGATTCCAGATCCAAATATTATTGATCGTTTATTGAACCGTTATGATCGGTGGAATTTACTGTAGCGAATGGTTCAGGATTTCTGGGGATGTTGGCGAAATGAATATCTGTACATTCTTCAACAACGCCAGAAATGGAATACGGATATTCCTTCAATTCAAATCGCAGAATTAGTTGTTATACGTAACGAATTAAAGCCTCCATTGCAATGGACTACTGGACGTGTTGTGGAAGTACACCCTGGTAAAGACGGTCGCCTTCGAGTGGTAACCGTCAAAATTCAGAATGGAAAATTAACGCGCCCAGTCAACAACATCTGCATTTTGCCCTTAACCTAAAATTGTAAAAGCTTTAATTGTTTGTTTTACCTTATTTATTGTAATTACTTGTAATCAATGTTATAATTTCTCTTATTTCACTTCACTAGTTGTTAAAAATACACCTAATGGAAATGTTTGTGTAACGTAAACATTCGTTTCTATGCGCACGATGCGCACCCCCAAATTGTCTCCCGCGCATCTTTAAATGGGAGCGCATACGAGAGAGAGACAATTATTATTGTAACCGCCAAACATTATAAATTCATATAAATGTATTGTGTAATCATAAATTTGTTAGTGATAATAAAACCAGGTAAAACAATTCCATTTTCCTTTATTTTTTATCGAACTTTGAACCACGCCTCACAATAGGGCCGTTAAGTATTTTTTTTTAATTGGCTTATTCGAAAGTTCGGCAGTTATATAAAGGAGTGTTAAATGGGGCTGTTACTCCTGAAGCACATAAAAATTTCTGTCAGTACCTAAAGACAGAAATTGAAAGATCAAAAAAGGCTTCGTATACTAACTATATTGAAAATACGTCAAATAAAGCTAAAGCTACGTGGACAACCATTAATGCACTCAGGGGATGCAAAAAATCAAATAATTATTTTGATCTAAACGTATTTCGGCCAGTGTATGAAAATGATATAGATATACTTAATGCTGCTAATACATATTTTATAAATAGTGTACAAATTTCTAATACGGTTCCCTTAAGAATAAGAAACTTACAAATATCTAAAACTTTCGCATTATATTTAAGTGATGCAATAGAAGTTCAAAAAACAATACAATCTTTAAATGATACAAAAGCGGTAGGCTTTGATGAGATTCCGGTGGCCTTATTGAAGTTCTCTTCTGATGCTCTCTCTGAACCCTTTAGTAATGTTATCAATTTGTCCTTTTCTATGGGCGTTTTTCCAGCAAGCCTTAAAAAAATAGTAATTAAACCATTGTATAAGAAAGGAGATCGATCAGTTTTTTCAAACTATCGTCCTGTTGCGTTGATATCAAATATTGCAAAAATATTTGAAAAAATTGCATTGAGAAGAATAATGGATTTTGTAATTAAAAATTCGACTGTGTGAATCATGAAATCCTTCTGAATAAAATGGAAAAAATGGGTTTCCGCGGCGTTGTCCTTGATTGGTTAAAATCCTATTTACACCGCAGAAGCCAGTGTGTTATGTCATACAGCGATTCGGGAGGAGAAGTTAGGTCTGAGTGGAAAGAAGTATTTCAGGGAGTACCTCAGGGGTCAGTCTTGGGATCTTTCTTGTTTCTTCTGTACATTAATGATTTGCCTGATGTACTTGATAGTTTACTGGTATTATTTGCGGATGATTCAACTTCTGTTGTGTCTAGAAAAAGTGAAAAAGCGGTCTTTGAGAGAATTTAACAAAACTAAACGAATGGTTGTTAGGAAATAATCTACAGCTCAATATAGCAAAATCAACTTTTATGATTTTTGCAAATAAAACACCTGAGATGGAAATAACGTTTGGAGGACCATTACTCACCTATAAACAGGAGGTGACGTTCCTCGGTTTAAAGATGGACTGCCGCCTTTCCTGGAGTCAACACATTGGTTGACAACTAGTTTATCCAGAACATGTTTTGCGCTTCGAACAGTGTCACGATGTGTAGGTGAGAGAGTCGCTTTAAGTGTTTATTATGCGTGTGTTGAATCGCGTTTGAGATACGGAGTTATTTGCTGGGGAAATGCAGTAACTTCGGAACGTGTTTTCATCCTTCAGAAGAAGTGTGTACGAGCGGTTTTCGGTCTGGGTCCGCGTGACTCATGTAGAGCTCTTTTCGCAGGACAAAATATTCTCACGTTCCCATGTTTGTTTATTCTAGAATGTGCACTTTTGTTATAACTAATTACCATGAATTTTTCTCAAAATATGAATTATCTCATCAACATCAAACGAGAGGCACTGAACGATTATTTTTACTACCACCGAAGACTAATTATTCTAAAATACAGAAAAGTGTTTTATATTTTTGTATAAAACTGCACAATTACTTACGTGATGATTGGAAAGCGCTACCATCACAAGTATTTAAAAAAAAATTGAAAGAATTCTTAATCGCGAAAGCTTTTTACAGGGTAGATGATTTTTTTCTCGAAAATATTTCAACCCACTAAGAAATATGTTTATTAACATCTTTTATTTTTATTTTGTACTAGATTTTTTTGTATTTGAATTTGTAAATTTATTGGTATTATAATTAATTAATTAGTTATTTACTTAATTGTAAAGGTTTTTTGTTTTTTTGACTGTTTTCTATGCATGTAAGCATTATAGAAATAAAGGAATTTATTTATTTATTATTTATAAAGTTTTTTAAAATTGATTGACCCTATATTTTTTAATTTTTGATTCTGAATCTTAGTTTTTCCAAAAAAAAACTAATGAAACTACAGGGCGCGAACTCCAAAATACGTCAATCAGATTTGAGCGTACGATTGGAGCGTATAAAAATCAATAAAATTCCTGGAGAGAGACAATGCTATGAATCTTATGCGCTAGAAGAAAACGGCAGCGAGCGTAACGTCTGTGATTTCTTTCTTCTTACTTAAAACGTCATCTAGAGTCGGGGTGGGGAATTTTAAACTTTTACATTAATTATTGCAAAAATTAAACAATTTTCGAACGTGAAAACGTTACTAATCCGTCTAATTTAATTTAGATTATCGATTTTTTGAAAGACGGTCTTTCTAATGGATTGACCTTAACGGCCCTATTGTTCCGGCGCTTTGCCGCGTGCACACACTGTATACATAGGTATAAGAATAGATACAAGAAATATAATTAAAAACAGCAAATAATACATAATAAATTTTTGTTTTTATTAACAAAAGTTATTACAAATTATCATATTAATTCATTTCTTTTTAGTTATTTAATCGCGGTCTTAAAGCATTCCTCAATTTCTCCCAAAACAGATTTTGTTTATTTTCCTCAGGTTCCCATTGCAAAAGAATTCTAGTCTTCATAAGATATTTCATCATCGGACTTATGCTACAACCCGAAATACTCCCTAATTGGATCATAACCAACGAATCATTCACACATTCTCCACGCTCATTTTCAAGAAATAACCTATGATTTTCAGCAATTGCAGCTTCCCAAGCACACCATTCCGAGTTAATATAAGAATTGCTGATTACGAGCAAGGTTTTTCTGCTTCTTGCAGCCCATTTCAAAACTGATTCAGACACATTCGTTTCAATCTCAAAATCTCTACCGTATACGCTTAATTTAAGAAATGGGTCATAACTTTCCAACATATTTACTAATCTTATAACAAAATTTCTGTCCTCATTGCTATAAGAAACTATTGCGTCGTATATATAATTAATGCGACGTTCGATGAAATCGCGTTTTGTATTTAATTGGTTTCTTCGTGATGTAGATAGTTTTAATAAAAAAATCCAATAACGAATGTGTGATCGATAGTTGTAAGAAACAAGTGAAATTGTGAGGAGAAGAAATCCACATATTAATAAAGGCGCTGTGTGTCTCAAAATTTTTATGATCCTTTCTCTGCTGCACCGTTCCAAATTACTCCGGTAATATTCGACAATTGTATTGTCAGTTTCTGGTGACACACAAAAGGAATTTGTTTGATTTAAAAGGCTTAAAATGTGATTGATTCTTCCATCTGTTAAGGAATAGATTGGTTGGATTAATTGATCGCATTCGCAATGAAATGGATTATTTGAAACGTCAACTACTTTCAAATCGGCAATATCTTGTAACATAGCTTTCGTTAAATGTGTGAATGGATTTTGGGAAATTATTAAATTTTCCACCGCGGTGTTAATAAATAACCGTTCTTGCCAAGGTTTTAATCGATTATTAGCTAAATCTAAGACTTTCATTTTGCTCATTGAAATCATTAAATCTTGGGGTATTTCAACAAGAAAATTATTTCGGAGAATTAAAGTTTGTAAAGATACCAAATTTTCAAAGATGTCGTTGCTGGGAAAAAATTTAATTTTACACTTTTCCAGGGATAAATATTTTAATTTAATTAATCCGGTAAAAGTATTTTTAACCCAAGATATTTGTGGGAAATCGTTGTCGCCTAAATCCAAATATTCCAAGCTTCTTAATTCTTTAAAAGAATTATTTGATATTAACAAGATGTTTGTTTGGAAAAGATTTAATTTTTTCAGGTTTGGGAGTCCGTGTAAAGTGCGATTATAAATTCTTATGATGTTGTTATAACTTAAATCAAGAATTTTCAATGAAGCCATGTTATCAAATTTGAAACTAAAACAAGACGATTCTGGTTTTGTGTTTCTAGAAATGTCCAACACCTCTAACGTTCGTATTGACACCCCCAGCGGTATTCCAACCATTTTATTTTCTTTTAAATATAATTGTTTTAAATTAGGAAAATTAATTAAAGCATTTTCTTTAATATCAGTAATCTTAGATTCTTCTAAAATTAAGGTGTTAATGTTAAGCATTTTAGGAAACGTATCCTGCTCGATTATATCAAATTGATTCTCGTTTAAAATTAGCTCGGTTATCGTCGTATTTCCTATTACATTGAAAAGTTGATGAGGTACTCGTGTTTTATTACCCCACAATTTTAATTTTAACGACATCAACGGTATCTTATTTTTCTTAATTTTTTGTAAAATCTCAATCACGTTTGGTTCCTCCACCAAAGTATCGCTAACACTTAAATTCCTTAAACCTTTTAAATTAATAAACGCATCCGGGTGTATATAATTAATTTGGGAACCATCAAAAAAAATATTTCTCACTTTGCTTCCGGATAAATAAGCGAAATCATCTTCTTCAACTCTTGGGCAGTGTAGTTCCGTTAAAATAATCGTCGTTAACATCGGCATAAACGAAGCTTTTAAAGCCGTTGAAAAATCTTTGATTTCATTAAATCCATTGTTAGATAATTGTAACGATACTAAACTATATAGCCCTCTAAAAACATCTTCATTCAAACTCATTAATTGTGGGTTAAAAGAAATCGATAAAGTTGCTAGTTTATATAATTTTTTAAAAGTTCCAGGTTGAATCGTTTTTAACGCTATGTTATTTTCAATGTGTAATTTGGTTATGTGTGCTAAATTTTCAAAATCTCCTGGTAAGAAATCCCTAATTCCGGATCCGCTTATTTTAAAGCATTTAACCGATGTTTGAAAGTATTTCGGAAAATTTTGGCAGCGGAAATTGTAACATATCGCGTACGAACCTACATATTCTCTACATTTACATTGATCACGATAAAAATTTTTTTGTTTCATTAAGCCTTCATCTGAACCGCACGATGCACCCAAATGAATTAACAATGGAAAAATTAATGTTGTTAGAAACAGCATATTTTATCTGAAACAAAAATAATTATTTTTATTGAAACGTTAATGGTGAAATAATTAACTAATAATTTTATACACTTTATATTGCCGGTGATGTAAACTGATTTCAATAAAAAAATAAATATACTTTGTTATCACTGTATTAGATATTAGTATTGGATAAGGAATTTGTAATACATTCTTTATGCAATGCTAATAGACAACTCAGATTTTTTAATTGTGATAACACTTTATGTATTTCTTAATTGATTCATTCAATTATATACACCGGGTGAGGTATTTAAATTGAGACAATCGAATAACTCGTAAACTCTTAATTTTATCGAAAAAAGTTTCAGATAAAACTTTCATCATATAACTTCTCCGGTTATATATATTATTCTGTATTGTGTTCATTCCCTTTTAGAAGCGCCCTAAATGTCTTTCAATTGTTAAGTAACTTTTTCAAATGAATACATATATATTTTTGAATAATACGCATAATAAAAATCAAGGTGCAACCAGGGAATACGGGGAACAACACAATTAATTAATTTAATTAATAAGCACGTTGGTAATTATCTGTTAATTATATTCATTAGTTACGTTTTATTACTTAAGCATGGCAAGACATACGATTACAGATCGATAGATAATAGCATAGTTAAGAAAAAAATATATGTATCAATGTAAAAAACTTACTTAAGAAATAAAAGACTAGAAGCTTCTAAAATGCAATTTAACCATACAGAATATTTTCGCCTTTCACAAGATGAACGTTTTATCTTAAACTTTTTTTGATAAAATTGATGGTTTACGAGTTATAAGGTCGTCACAATTTAAATGTCTCACCCGGCATATGTATATATATTATTGTATACAAAGATAATTTTTTACTTACACAAAATAATGAAATATCCAAATATTTTTTCGTATTCACAAAGAAAAACGACTGTGTTGGTCGTCGGTCACTTACTATTTGTTCTTCTTGCTTACTTACTGACGGTTTTCAAAACCTTTGCGATTATGTCAAAGCTGTACAAGTCATGCGCGTTAACGACACATTAAATCTTTATCAAATTTGCTTTGAAATATTTATGAATTCGTAATTTTACAAGATGAGCGCATAGAGGTAATTATATGTACAGTGTGTCCCCGGATTGTGTCCCCGTAAGGTATAAGTGACGATAAATTTTTGAATTCAAATTCCATCTTTTGCAATTAAAATCTGGATGTCATAAAACGAAATATAACCAACTTTTACGTCAAATGTTGTTAATGTACCAAAGTTAACGCAAGAAGTTTGTTAACTGTTGCAGGTAAAGTGGTCTTTCTGAGCAATGTACAACAAAAGTTGATTAAGATAAAATGTTTGTTATGTTAAATTATAGCGATATGCCGAATTTTATTAATTTAAGATATGAAAGCAAAGTGCAGATATTTAAATCATAAGATTAACAGAACATTTTCGATCTAAACTAAATTAACATAAAAGCTTATTCAATGATACCACCACCAACACTAACACATAATTCAGCCCGATTCCGACATTGTTTATAACTTTTCCTAATATGGTCCAACGGAATTTCTCTAATAACAGTTTCAATTTTTTGTTTTAAACGGTCTAAATTGTTATTAAAATTTTCAGTGTACACTTTTTGTTTTACATAACCCCAAAAATAAAAATCCATAATAGATAAATCCGGACTTCTTGGCGGCCATGGTTGCGGACCACATCTAACAATCCATTTTTTTCCAAATAACGTATTTAAATAATTTCTAATTAAAATAGTGGGAGGGCCGCAACCATCTTGTTGAAAATATAATTTATTGTGTTTTGCTATGCGATAATGTGGATTAGTCTTTGACCAGAATCGATAATTTTGTGATGTAACCATACCATTAGTGGTGAACGATGCTTTGTCCGAAAATATTGTTTTTTAAAAAAATTCTATCTTTCAAAATTTTGTACCCAAGCCACAAACAATAATCTAAACGTTTTGCTTCATCACCTAATTCGATAGTGTGGTTATATTTTGGTTTATACGGCAATATTTTATTTTCTCGATAAATTCTTTGTAAATGGGATTTACTTATACCGACTTGAACTGCCCTTCGAAGGTCACTTCGAACCAGTTTCTGAAGAAGGTTGTAACATGGCATCCGAAACGTCAAACCTTTTCTTAACAGACGCACGGCAAAACCCGAAAGTTTTTAGTGTTAGTTCTAGTTTAGTTCTAATTTTAGTTCAATTAACACCGGCCGTGAAAGCCTACGTACTTATAAACATGATCAATTAATATTTGACAATAGGCTAAAGCTAAGCTATCAAATGATAATTGTTAGTTCACTCAGATCATTTGTTTTTATTGTAAAACGGAATATCAAAAAAATTTTCAAGAAAAAACTCATTTTTTCTTTTATATGCTAAATTAATAAAATTCGGCATATCACTATAATTTAACATAACAAACATTTTGTCTTAATCAACTTTTGTTGTACATTGCTCAGAAAGACCACTTTACCTGCAACGGTTAACAAACTTCTTCCGTTAACTTTGGTAATTTGAGGACATCCAGACTTTAATTGCAAAAGATGGAATTTGAATTCAAAAATTTATTTATTTATTTATTTATCGTAAATTATACCTTACGGGAACACAATCCGGGGACAAACTGTATACAAATTTTACCGATTTAAAATTAATATAACATTCGGTGATATTCTCTTGTAATACTATTTGAAGCTATGATCAACTACTATTATTAGATATTTTAACTATTATTAGTTTAACAGTATGAATCTAATCCATATTCTTTGTCCATAATAAACAATCAAGCTAATCTCACCGCTATCACAGATGAATTTGTTTATTTAAAGAAGCCGCCTCTTGTTGGACCGCAAGAACTGCGACAGCTGCTATAAATCAAAATTCCATCTGCTGATTTCAAATCATTTTATATGGTTTCTGCATGTTCTATTATCCTTACTTAAGTCAGCATCTAAGCTTGAAACGATGGGGAGCCAGTCGATTGCCACCGTTTTTTTTTATTATTTTATTATAAAATTATTTAAGTAATAATATTAATAATTTTATATAGTAACGTTCTTTTTGTTTTGTACATGTCGTGTGCACAGCATGCTACAATATGCTTTATTCATTTTATTAAATTTTGATGTAATAAGAAGTAAAGGATAATAAAGGGTAAAGCTTATATTTTGTCCTTTTATACAGAGTGAGTCGGGAGGAACGGACCAAACGTTAGGTGTGTATTGTACGCTTAAAAATAATGTAAAAAAACCCATATGTGGTTATCCGATTTTCATTTGTTTTCAATTGATTGCATAACTACCGTTAAACATTTAACGTAGATTTGACATTTTGATTTGCATTAAGAGGTACAAAATGCCAAGTACTTATTCACATTTAGAATATACAGATATGTTATTATATGATTTTTGTAACGGGAGTGCTACAGCTGCTACAGATGAATATCGTCAACAGTTTCCAAATCGCAGACATCCTAATAAAAACGTTTTTATTAGGGTTTTCAATAAATTGCGCGAAACCTGTACACTTACCAGCGCTAAAATAACATCTGAACGAGCTACGCGTCAATGTTTAAATGCAGTAGAAAATATTTTGGATCTAGTAGATGAAGATGCAACGACCAACTCACGAAGAATTGCTGTTCAATTAGACATTCCACAAAAGAGAGTAATAAACACACTCCACGAACAATACTTATATCCATACCATTTAGGTAAGGTACAACATCTACTGCCGGAAGATTATGTTAAACGAGTCGAATTTTGTCGGTGGATAAATAATGATCATCGTGTTGTATCGCATATTCTTTTTACGGATGAAGCAACATTCACCCGTTACGGCCTACATAATACTCGTAATAGTCACGTATGGTCCGATGAAAATCCCCATGCAACAATCGAAAACAACTTTTAATCTGTGTATTCCAATAAATTGGTTTCAACTGATCGTCCGGGATAAAACCCATGTTGACTCATATGTATATTCTGTTTGACTTGAAAAAATACGCTGGTGTACACAAATTTCTCAAAAACCATGCAAATAATAGGCAATAATGATATCGGTCGGTAATTAGTAACTAAATTCCTAGCACCATTTTTGAAAATTGGGACTACGTTGGCCTGCTTCCACGCGTCTGGAAAAATCCCCTGTTGCAAAAATTTATTATAAATTAACTGTAGGCGTATTGCCATAGCCTCAGAGCAGTTCCTAATCAAGATTGGTGGCAGATTATCCGCTCCCGGCCCTTTATTCAACGCTATCCCATGTAATGCTTTGTGTACTTCAGCAACAGTAAAGGACCCAACAGACACATTAGACAAACCTATCACACGATAAGAGTTCTTTGTCGAATATTGGCTATTTTATTCGACTTGGACAGAGTTTTTTTGAGAAAAAAAGCTAAAGGTTGTGTTTTGTTGTTTACGGTTTGCGAAAGAACTGCTCCCATAGCTGTGTATTAAGCGTCTGTAGTTAGTGATAGTGTGGTGAAGGGTGTCCTAAAATGGTTTATTGAACTAATTTTTCTTTTGTGGTTATGAAAGCTTTGTCGTGTTCATCAGTTTTAATTAGCCATGTCGAAATACGAATCCTGATCAAAAAGAACAAATCTGATCATGTTTTTTTTGATTAATTTCTGACCGAATTCGTTTCTGTGTAACGTAGTATTTTTATTAAATTGAAAATACAATTTTTGTAGATGTTTTAGAAAATTCTTTTTTAGCTACAAATAATGACCCACTGTTATGAAATAAGATACAAAATTATTGGGAGCGCACCTCTCATTATAGACTTAAAAATATTAAACAGTCTCAAGATT